CAATGATGCTCATCCAGAAGTCCACTAGAAAAAGTGCAAAATTTGAGAATAACACGGTTTTGGCATGCAGATCACACTCTTTGCCCATTAAGAACGACCACTGTTTGTTTCTCATTCCCTAACATGTTGGGTAGGTTTTTATTTCTTTCTTTTCTTGACTTTGTATACAATAATCATCCGTTCTACTCTTAAAGGAAATAATATTCAAACATATATAGCTCGTGAAAATGATGTTTGCAATCAGAGTTGCGGTTCAGCCAGCAACCTTACCATTCTACAGGCATTCTACGGATCCAATGATACTTGTCCATGCGCTATTCAAAATGTAACAACAAAGGTTCAAAATGCATGTGGTGTATCGTCTTGTAATATCAGCATAACCGATACAACTTTTACCGATCCATGTTACGGTTATATGAAAAGATTTTGGATGTTTTTTATATGTAAGAGTGAGTCTTGTTTATGAGGTGTGAAGAAACAGCAAAATCCGTTTTTAAAGCAAAACCATGCAAAAGAGGTTATTTAGATCAAGGGTTGTAGAAGCTACTTTGGACTGACTATTATCCTTTCGGAAATAAACTATACCCGGCTGCTTTTTGAATATCGTTCCATGAGCGAAGGAAACGAGAGACATGCGATTTTCATTATTCGAAACCAATACCCAAGAGTATATTTCATTTGAAAAAAGTCTTTTAAACGAAAACCCGTTTTCCTGGAGGTCTCCTGGAAAATCAGTTCATGGTTCGAAAATGTTCCATAGAGGTCTGGTGGTCGTTCTTAATGGGCAAAGAGTGTGATCTGCATGCCAAAACCGTGTTATTCTCAAATTTTGCACTTTTTCTAGTGGACTTCTGGATGAGCATCATTGAGCTGAAATCGGTCAATTTACGTCTTTATCAGAAAGAGTACATAAAAATAAGTATACTCTGAAAGTTCTGAAATTGATTTGAATGGATAATGACTGGTAGCATGAAAATCCAGACGGGAAAACTCGTCTTTTGAACCTTCCTCAACTTTTGAGGCAAATAAACGTTGTATGTACGATGATCAGCGCGCTCGAAGCCAATATTCCATGTCTTTTTGAGGCTGTCTGACAATGGACACTGTGGACGGTCTATACCTTCTCAGCAGCTGCTGAGGAGGCTGATCGCTTGAGAACAAACTAAATGATCATTAAGTCGATGAATTTGATTGATATTCTAGTGATGTGCCGTCAAAGCACCAGCCAGAAACGCGGGCTTGATTCTGATCGGCTCAGACTTTCGACCAGTACGATTAACTGACAGGAACCTCTAACTAAAATACATTTTTTTCACTTTAGTTCCAGTAAAGATTCCTTTTTGTATTAATTGAGGCTCATTTTTTTCATTATCTGGATGAATTTGGTTGTGCTTTTGTATGGAATAGCAGAGAATGATATGTTGTTGTTATTTATTTTTAAAATGTAAACAACTTCGAAATTTTTACTAAATTAGTTACATTACCATTTCTGGTAACTAAGGAATAGAGATAGTAAGACATCCCTACCAGTTATTCGCAATATAGTCATTGGATATAAAATAATGTAAAACTTTTCTCTCTCTCTCTAGGTGTAAAATCGTCACTTTGTACAAATGAAAGCACATTCTTATATAACAATCAGTTTATCTATTCCCCTAATCAGGCATACGCTGCCGGGATAAACAATAACTATTTTGGTGTTTACAATGTATCTGTATCTGGTAGTGTTGGTTCGGCACTTTGGACAGCATCACAGTCATCAGCACCGTCAGGCGATTATTTAAGCCCGCAAACTGACCGAAATTTGGTTGTTTATAACTCAGGTGGCGGGGCCATTTGGGCATCAAATACACAGAACAGTGGAGCTGGCAGTCCATTTTGTTTAACTATGGAAAATAACGGAAATCTAGTTTGGTATGATAATTCTTTTACGACTGTATGGCAAACAAATACCGTACAAGGACGATAGCAACATTTAGTAACTTCGATCGAAGATGACCATTAGCAGAGAGTATAAATATTTTTTCAACTCGTGTTCTACCTGCCTAAGGTCTTGAAAGTAAAGTCAATTCTGAGTACCGATGTTTTTTGGAACCCGATCTCGAGATGTTTCACATACAGTGGGAACAAGTGATGGATTCCTGTGGATCACCCACAGGGAGGTTCATTTGTCTGTCACTCTAACGTTCAGTAATGTAGCGCACACGCACTCTAAGTAAACTTATTCTTTAGTCACGTTTTTCTTTCCGTAGCGCTAGCCTAGCGTAAGATACACACACAAACAGACAAGTTATTTTGTACGGCCCTCGATTTGCAGCCAAGAGAATAGAAATTGTTTGTACGATTGTATTCTTGATCGAGATGTAAAGATTTCGGTTCTAGACCAGAACGTGATATTTGTGATCAGCTCGACGAGATGAATCAGAATATGTATGATTAAGTCAAACAAAAGTTTGCTTCAAGTTTGAATTACGGGCATCTTACTTTTCACGCCTTTCATACTTTTCATACTATTCTACTATTCATACTATATTAAGCGGCTCTCTCCCATGTACTACCTTGCCGCGCCTACCCGATGTTGCATGATGAACCTTAATACGTGTGGAGTGACAGAGTCAGCCCAGTGCTAGCCTACAACGTATTGCACTATATCAATGTATTGCTGCAGTACATTTCATCTTACACATTTTTTGTCTAGTCAAACCGCTCTGGGCCTGACAGTGCTTTTTTTTTGATTTTTGACACTTCAGTCCATTTCCGTATATGAAAGAGTCTATGTTTTACGAGTTGAAGATTTTCTGAACACTTTCTTCTGGCTCAGACAAAAAGAGAAAGTAGCCTAACAATTTAAGCGCCTTGTCAGTGTAGGGTCACAGTATTTTCAATTTTAAAGATTGACCTCCAAAATGCTTCCCCACACAGAAAGTGCAGGCAATATCTCGAAAACGCACGCTTTGACCCCAAAAACCCATTCTTAAGGTCAAATCCGAATTTTCCCGCCAAACGTTGTTCAAGAACAATGACAATCTTTTCACATATACATATCGATGCGCTCTATCGGTTAGTTATAGAACAGAAATTTCAAACGAAAACGTAAAAGTTTTATTTAAATTTTAAAGACGGGCAAAAACGCCTGAAAAAAATTAAAATTCTTTTGTCTAGAAAACTAGAAGTCCCGAAACCTCTAAACTCTGTTCATATATATTTCTAAGTGTCCTCTACAATGTGTCAAAGTTTGAACCAAATCTAATGGAAGCCATGGAGAGTGCAATTCCTGTAGAATTCATATTCACATAATTTCTCAAAGATCCCCGTTTTTCTGCGATCACACACAAAATCATCCATTGCGTCACCGTCTAAATAAGCTGCATAGTTATCCATTTGTTCAACACTAGAACTCCATTTCAAAACACCTGTGGGCTGAATACCATCTTCAGATAACTGTGAAAACAGAATCTTAACGCCTTCATTTTAACATTTAACACCTCAATTAAGTTGGATATTTCGATACGTTTGAATACAATATTTGACAGGTCGATTACTGAACTTTTTATTCGTATAGTACATGCAATCATAGTATTGAAGAAATTAGAATTTTTATTATTATACAATGACACGCATCAATGCCCGACAAATAGGCAATAATTCAAAACACACAAAAAGTATGATGAACGAATGTAGTGCACGCTTTAAGGCGAATAATTTTTGACGGAACACACTTATCAGCTGCCTTTAATATGCTAGATTCCAGTATTAGTGCGGACAATAGTGTCTTTTACTAAAAAAAAGATTTTATATGTACTTATGTGTATTAGATTAATATCTGTCTTGCTTTTTATCGTAGAATTCTGTTAAGTTCAGTTAATTGCAGATACGTTATTTACTCATTTGTCACGTTTAACCACAGTATACATCATACTCATATTTTTGTTCTTTATGTGTATTTGAGTGTGTTCCATTCTCTTTCTCCTTTATCTCAAATGGTTTTCTATTGTTAACAGTCCTCCAGGACATACAGATGCCTCACATCAGAGTTACTGATTCGAATGATATATATAATATATTTTGAAACACGATTTTCATTTTTTGGTACAAAATCTCAGGTGGTTTTCGGCGTGAAAATTCACAGAAACTAAGATATT